ACGCTGTAAACTCAACACACTCGGTGGAGATGCATCGGTCTCACGCTGTAAACTCAACACACTCGGTGGAGGAGCACCGGTCTTACGCTGTAAACTCAACACACTCGGTGGAGGAGCACCGGTCTTACGCTGTAAACTCAACACACTCGGTGGAGGAGCACCGGTCTTACGCTGTAAACTCAACACACTCGGTGGAGGAGCATCGGTCTCACTCTGTAAACTCAACACACTCGGTGGAGGAGCATCGGTCTCACTCTGTAAACTCAACACACTCGGTGGAGGAGCATCGGTCTCACTCTGTAAACTCAACACACTCGGTGGAGGAGCATCGGTCTCACTCTGTAAACTCAACACACTCGGTGGAGATGCATCGGTCTCACGCTGTAAACTCAACACACTCGGTGGAGGAGCATCGGTCTCACGCTGTAAACTCCTTCGTCATCAAGTCAACATAAGACACATAGTATGAAGTAATTAATAGCAATAAAAATAACAAGACAAACAATCCAATTTATAAAATACATATAAATAATAGAAATATTATTGTAATATATTTTATATTTTGATATTTAATTTTTTTATTTGGTTTAACTGTGCAGGTGTGTTTATGATAATGAGAATCATAGGAACTGGAAAATTAAACGAAAAACAGTTTTGCTTAAAATAATCAGAGCATTTGTTTTTATTAAACATTGCTGTGCTAAAAAATTACAAAAGTATTTTATATTAACAAAATATATAAATGAAACTTACAAAAAACATGTACAGCAAACAAACACAACTAAAAGGTGTCAAACTGGAGTAACGCCATATTTACTTACTGTACTGTTACTGAATAATCCGTTGAGAAAAAAAGTAAAATATTTTGAACATAATAAAAAACTAGATTTCTGATACAAATCTTTAGTGTGAAAAGTTTAGAACAATAAACCTGAACAATGTCAATGCTTCACATGATTTGTGTCTGAAGCATAACTGGATGTGTTTGTATGATTTCCTTCAGCATACGATGGTGTTTGAGTGGGAAACAGTGCGTGTAATATCTGTGGGATGTGGTGGATGTTGTCGGAGTGTGTGAGGAAGACCACAAGCTTGTGTTTAGGAGAATTTCTTGATGAAGCGCAGCTTGAGGTAAGCGATGATGAGGAAGATGAGGGTCATGATTCCCAGAGCCAAATGATTTTGCCACAAACCCCAGGTTGAGTAATCAATGCCCTGAGCGCTCAGAAAGCCCTCGCCTGTTGAACAGCTGCAATGACAAAATGATGAGAACATGTTGGTTTTCTACACTAGCTACATTCACATGCAACCAAATAATCCGTTAGTAATTGGATTGATGGCTCAATCGGACTGAAAAGCCTTCATTAATCGATCTAACTGAGCACGATCCACATGAAATTTCAATCAGATTAGAAGGGATGGTGTAGACCTATTCTTATCCAATCAAGAGGACATGTGAACACTTGATCGGATTGAAAACTGAAACGGCGCATGTGCAATGACATAGAAATGGCGTAATGATGCATGACGCATGGAACGAGCTGTTGTTTTTGTAGTGTTGTTCTGTCATAAATGATTGTCACGTTATTTGAAAATTCTCTTTCCACTCATCGTCTGTGAAGTGGAGCAGAACAATGTCCCATCAGTCCTCACTTTATACTCTCATCCACAGAAGGCTTGTTTTGGCCACTAGAATGGGCGGTTTTACTGCTTGAGCATGGCACAAAGCTTCACTTGCTCGTCTTCTCCTAGTTAGGACTCAAAGTAGATAAATATTAAGTCTTCTCTTTGAAACAAAGAAAAGAAGCAATGGCAATGGAATAGTATGTGCAACCAGCAGGAAACTGCATTTTCGTGCAGTGTGCGCATGTCAAAAGATCAAAGTCGATATTGAAGCTTGTGACTGACATATAAACGCGCACATCAACCCCATCACTTTATGTAGCATTCATGTAAACACTACGTTCGGATTCATCAATCAGAATGATTTCATTCCAATTGAAACAAAAGGTGTCCATGTAAACGAAGCTACTGAAATATTGTTGAATGAGCTCGTTTTGGCACTAAAGTGAGTGATACATGAAAATGCATTGGAGCAACTGTAGCTTAAATTGATGGAAGGATCCTATTGGCTGAGAGAACTTAACTGACAAGGCGTTTCAGCTGCGATGCATCAGTGAAGCAGTATTTAAGCAGGCATTCTGGCTGGAGCGACAGCCCTCGTGTAAGATCTATGCATGCAAAGATCATGCACGGAATGATGGAGAACAAGAAGATGAAGAACGGCTCGGCAGACGCCTTCAGTCCTGCACAGCAAACACAAACACATCAAGCCACACGTCTGATATCAGACGGACATGAATGATGCGATGACGGCGTGAGTCTCACCGATCATCCAGTACGCCACGCAGCTGAAGATGAAGGCCGGGATGGTGCGCAGAGTCAGGATGTCAGACAGGATCTTAGACAGGAAGTACACCGACACTCTGTAGTATCCGCTGATGTACTCGTGCCTGAGGACACGCCCACCACCACGACATCATCAATCAATCAAATATTCAAATTACAATCAATCACCAAGAATGGCACAGAAAATATCAGGCTTATTGCTTTTATAAAACGGTTATTCCATATACGTAGTAAGGTTTCACAAAATAAAGCAGAGCAAATAAAGTGTAATGATATTAATAAAAACTGTATTCTTCCACCAAACAATGTAGCGCCTCAGAAACAGTTGTGGTTGCTACAAAGTGTTTGCAGAGCAACACACAGACGTAAACAAAGGTGTGTGTTACTTTGTAGCGTCATTCACAACAGCTTCGAACGCGGCTCAGCCAATCAGAATCAAGCACCGGAACTCTCCGTTTCATAAACTTTATTTTAAACTCAAGTTAATGCATCAGCGTAATGTTTAACACGCTTTGACAGATGCGTGTGCCATTTAATGTGAGATATGTTTCCTCAGCGCATAATCTGCATTTTACGGTATCATCCTTTTCTGTAAATGTTACATATTCATTCATGTTTCTATTTTGCATGAAGGCTCGTCCTGACGATCTGCGTTAAACTTCAGACTACACTGAGCTTCATTTTGTTGATATATCTGTTATTGGACGTTAAAAGTCAACGTTTAATTCAAGTATTTTATGATAGTAACTGTAAAGGGATAACAGAGTGTAATTGAAAATAAATGTAAGATGTTTCTTACATTTACAGTATAAAGAAATGACAGTAACAGGTGTTCCTGCAGGACATTCCTCTCATCTGTTAACACTGAGTTTGTGTTTTTCTTTACTATCTTCATCATTATTATTTCCATTTTTAATATAGGGAATTAAACTGTCCTTTGTCCATTTAAACTGTGCTTTATAACTCTTTTACACATAATGTTAACATAGAGATATATTCAGTATGCTTTCCTAGCATTCAGTTGGCACTTTTGTTTGAAGGACAACATTGGGGCAGGAAAATCCTAAACCCTTTAAAAATCCGATTAATCGAAAAAATAATCAGGCAACTAATCAGGGTGCGAATTACGGGGGGGTTTGGGGGGGGTCTGACCCCCCTAAAGAAGGCTTGATCCCCCCTGATGGACCTCAAAACTAGATGTGGGGGGGTCAGATAGAAAGTAGGCTAGCCTACGCATATGGAGATTTACTTGTAAATATTAATATGTATTTGTATAGCTCTGACTGATTTTAAAAATGTAATTTTGGCAGCCCCTGAAATGGGTCGTACTGACAGTACCTGAGCGGTTGAAGAATACGCTACAGCGCTCATTCAAAGACATGCATTTATTGCTTGGACGGAGCAAGTACACCTGGAATGCATGTGCAGATTCAGTCGAGAGATAAAGTTTACCCTCTTCTACTTAATGCTGTTGAACTGAATTTACGGAGAAAACGATTTGCTAAAATAACCACAACATTAACAGCAACGCTAAAATACAAGCGTGTGGTAATGCTAGTCAGATGCACATGAAAGTTGCACGTGTTACGATAACATTAAACACTGTGTGATTTCTTTCAGAATCATCATTGGCGTTTAGAAAGACGATAATAGGTTACATAAAAGTTTTTTTTACCTACAGTAAAAATGAAGATAAGGTGTGAATAATTACATTTTAGACACATTGTCAGTAATTTCGCCAACAAAGATAAGGAGAACTGTTGTGCGTCTCTGATCAACACACAGAATCCAAGTTTTTAAACGAATCGACTGAATCAATGATTCAGTGAGCCATTCATAAAGGCAGTCACTTGCTTCGTTTCTGAATGAATCAGACGTTTGAACGAATCGATTGAATGAATGACTGAATCAATCACTTATTAAAACAGGGATTTGTCACCACCTACTGGCACTTTTAGTTTTGTATTAAGAGTATTGTTTCTTTTTAAAAATAATTGTATATTTCACTAGCCTATTTATTTGTATTTTTGTATGTTGAATTAAAATATGTACTGTATTTCTAAAGCTACTTTTTTGTAATGTCTAAATTTTGTTTTTTCTAAATTAACACAATGACTATTATCTTTAATAACAACTTTATCTTTAATTTATCGGCACATGATGTGCATGTTAATTAATTAATCTTATTAATTTGAGATTAATTTGATTAATTAATTAATTGGCACATTATGTAATTAATTCGATTTTTTTTTAAACAATCACTTGACAGCCCTATTTAAAACATAATAAAAATCAAAATAATCGTTAGTTGCAGCCCTACCCACGACCTATGGGTTATAAGTCCAACTCTCTATTTTGTATTCCCAAAAATATAGTTTTTAAAAAACAAAACTTAAGAAGAAATCAAATTCTTGAAACAAATCTTCTTAAAAATCATCACAAATGACTTCTTAACCCTCTAGTGCTCTTTAGCCATTTTTGACCATTCGAATGGTACAAAACTTGGTGAAGGTTTTGGCACTTTCTGTGTGGAAAAACCCCACAAAACAAATTCATGATTTGAAAAGGTTAAATGGTCCTGAAAATAATAGTCACTCTTGTACTGTTCACAGTCAAAAATCACCACATTACAGGGGATGAATGGGAAGCGAATTTCATCTAGTGGAAACGTTTGGTACTGCACCCAAACAAAATCTAATACTGTACATTTTTTTGTGATATCAACCTCAAATTTGGAGCACAACTTGTTTAGATTTATGGCTTTGATTTTCACATAGTTTTAGATTGAAACGTTTGGAAAAATACATATTTCGTATAAATTTTGTATTTTTGTGTACTTTTAAAACAATACACAAAATCCTATAATTTATTTTTAATTCAACTTTTTTTAAAACAAAACAAAAAACTTTAAATTAAATATTAAGATTATGTTTATTATATATTAAGATTATTTTATTTATTTACCTGCATGTCATGTGATCACCAGAGGAATTATATTTCACCAAAGTATTTGACAAATGTTATTTAAAATAAATGATAATAATAATAAATAAATAAAATAAACGTGTATTAAAACTACAAATACTCCCACTATCAACTAATTACGCTACATTTATTTACTTGCATAAGTTATTTCACCTCCTACAGAATGTTTGGATAAACTAAATTTAGTTGTTTTTTTAAAAGGAAGAACAGGTTCTTATTTGCCAACTCGTGTGTGTGTGTGTGTGTTTACTCACACAAACAGATTCCTCTCTGCGATGAAGAGTTCAGCTGAAGAAACAGCGCTGAAGCACTGATTGATGGTGATGAAGAAGAGCACACCTATCCTGAAACACACACATACACACACTACTGTTAGAGGACAACTAATAGGAGTTTTTCAAAATGTATGAGGCATGAAGTACATTAAGTTGCAACACAATTTTACTCTGTAAATTATATTTGAAAACAGAAGGGCTGAAAAGATCACTGAATCACTTCTAATTCAAGCAGAAATGATTTATCTCACAGAAATATTGAAATAATTACAGAACTGGATGAATGCGTTTTCATACCTGTTTTGAATGCCGCTCGAATTATCCTTCACTCCAAAAAATATGACTCCAACAACCAGAGCCAGGAAAATCGTCACTCCGATCTGGAGAAACAATCTCAGATTGATATAGAAATACTAACATCAACCCAAATCAAAACTTCATCTTTATTTTCTTTTAACATTTATTTATATATTTTTTGTTGTTGTTGTTCTTTTCACATATATTTTGTTTAATGACAAAATAAAAAGAAAGAAAAAAGATAACTGAAATATTTTCAGTGTTGCTTAAGTTTATATCACCAGCAAATTCATTGCAAATATATTGTGAATATTCAATGAATCAAACTGAATTCATATAAATCTATGAGCATAGTTGATGAAAATCAAATAATTAATAAAATGCTAATGTACAATTTACATAAATCATTTTGAACTGAAAATAACAAAAATAAAGCATCTATTAAAAAAGATTAAATATTTTATGTTTACCTGCTTGAGCTATTATATTTCACTAAAACAAACAAAAAAAACTGTTACTTAAGATGAAATACATAAAATTAAAAATTAAATATAAAATTATTTTACTTAAAATAATTTTTTTTAAATTTTATTTCAGCCAGTTGCCAAGGAAACATTCAATTTTCATTTAGTTTAACTTGATGTATAAAAATAACTACAACTATAAAAATAAAAATTCATTTAAAAATAGCATTTAAATAACAAAACAAAAATAAAATACATGACAAAAACAACAAAATTACTAAACCTTTAACTAACATTAAAATAAAAACAGAAAACAGACAAATTTTAATAAATCATTTTGAAATTAAAACAATCAAAATAAAACAATAAACACTAAAAAATATTAAATTATTTGTTTATATTTATCTATTATCTATTTCACTAAATTACCTGAATTATATTTCACTAAAACCATTAAAAAAGTTACTTGAAATAAAATACCTGAAAATATAATATATTTTAAAAAATTATACTTATTTTATTTCAGTTGCCAAGGCAACTTTTAATTTACTAAACTAAAAATGAAATATAAATGAATAAAAAAATAAACAGACATAAACAGACATATAAAATTACAAAAATATAAAAATAAAACTAATTTAAAATAATAATAAAAACTATACTAGTATCTCAAATATACTAACATAACATTATGTGTCTTGTTAAATTACTGAAATAGTGTCTTAAAATCTCAGAGGGACTTCAGTTAAATATCTCAGCTCACAGGCTGATAAAAAGATCTGTGAATGCCTGATGTAGAAGGTGGCACTGACCTGAGCGAATGAGGTCTGCGGGTTCAGCATGAGGTTCCTGAAGGTTCTCTTGAGAACCCAGTTGAACTGGTGGAAGAAGGACGTGTTGTAGGTGATGGTTCTGGATTTGGGTCGAGTGCTGTAGTCCTGTCCCTGAACGATTCGCTCCAGCTCGCTTTTGGTCTGTTTGTAGCTGGAGCTGTTCTTGTATTCCTCCACCAAACGGTCCTCGATGCCCTTCAGAGATGAACTCAGCTGCTCCTGGTCCAGGTCTGAGACACACAAACACATTTATTTAAACAAAAAAATGTCTCGGGTTACATGCAAAACCCTTGTTTCCTGAATAGGGAATGAGATGCTGCGTAGTGATGACGCATTGGGAATGCCCCTTGCCCCAGTGCCCCTTGCCCCAGTGCCAATCTGAAACTTTATGAAATCACGCCAATTTATTGGCTGATGGCACAGGCATCTCCTCAGTGGCGCTACTTCACTCACCTAATAATAGTAAGTGCGCCATCAACTCCTCAGATTCTCTACCGAAGAAGCTTCTTCGGCAACATAAGGAACTTGGCAGCAAACACAGCATCTCATTCCTTATTCAGGGAACATGGGTTACACGTGTAACCCGAGACGTTTCCTTTCATAGGTTCACTCAATGCTGCGCAGCAATGACAATGATATACCACACACACCAAGCTAAGCACTGCTGGGAACCAGACTAAACGCAGTCAGTTGGTTCATGCAGAAAGGACCCGGGAACCAGGAGCCACGTCCAAATCCAAGTTGAAAAACCTGATTAAAAAATGCCACCCTGCCACAACACAAACATCCTCCAAAGGGACCTCTTTAAAAAGAGCCTGGGAGGATGCGACACTCCTATTAAAGTGAGCTCTAAGGACTAGAGGTGAAGGGAGTCTACGCACCTCATAAGCTAGAGAGATAGCGTCTTTCACCCAATGATAAAAATCCTGTGCTTGGAGGCGGCAAGCCCTCTGCGGCCAGCACCAAAGCACACTAGCATTGGGATGACTTGTACCACAGGCCAGAGTAGTCTACATAAATCTTCAGGGCCTGAACAGGGCAAAGTAGATGAAGCCTCTCCTCCAAAGAAGAAGCAAAGAGAGGAGGACAGAAGGCATGAAGCACAACCACTTGGGAACGGAATGACGTGGACAAGACTTTGGGGATGTAACCAGTTTTGGGTCGCAGAAACACCTTCACAAGACCCGGGGGAAACTCCATGCATGGCTCACTCACAGAGAAAGCCTGCATATCCCCTACACACTTGAGAGAGGCCAACACTAACAAAAGCGCCACCTAAAGGGTCAGAATCTGGTCAGGAGTCAACTCAAAATGCGGTCCCGATAACCCCTCCAGAATGACTGATAATAGCCGCAACGTAAACCCTCAAAGTAGTCGTGCTCCGGCATCAAAGTTCTCTCGCAGAAATTAAAGCACTGAGCCAACTGGTCAGCTGAATCCTGCCCTGGAATTGAGACAGTAGGGTCCTGATTAGAATATCCCACTGGGTTTGCTCCACCAGGGAAGGCAACTCCGAGAACCATGTCTGAGATGGCCAGAACGGGGCCACCAACAGGAGTCTGATCCCGCATTCCTTCACTCTGCAAAGAACCACAGGAATCAATTTTACCAGAGGAAATGCATACAATCTCAGATCCAGCCAAGGGGGAGCGAAAGCGTCTATCCCCAGGGGCGCCGGGTGTGACAGGGAGAACCAAAGGGGTCACTGATTCGAGTCCTGTGATGCAAGGAGGTCTACCTCTGCCTCGCCGAAAAGACTCAAAATCTCAGCCACCGTCTGGTGGTTCAGCATCCAGTCCCCCGACCTGAGTTGCTGTCTCAACAGGAAGTCCACAAAGCACCCGGTAAATGAACCTGCCTTAAGCCCAGAGGAGACAACGCACATGCCTGTTTCAGAGTGTGTGACCACGAACCTCCCTGGTGTTTTTTGTGAGACACCACCGCTACTTTGTACATCCTGACTATAACATGACAACCCGTCAGGACTGGGAGGAAGTGATCCAGGGCTAGAAAAATGCCGCACAACTCTAGGCAGTTTATGTGCCATGAGACAACCTCGCCTGTCCAGATGCCACGAGCTGGTCTGCTCTCGAAGGCCGCGCCCCAACTGGTCGGGGAGGCGTCTGTCATGATAATCGGACAATGGGAAACAGCGCCTATCTTGACCCCTTGTAACAGAAAAAGAGGCTCTCTCCACTTCCCGAGAGCATGGAAGCAACTATGTAAAACTATCAGCAAGCAGAGAGCCAGCCAGGAAAGGCAAATTCCTCTGAGTTTCATCCACCACAGAAAGGCCTCATGTGGAGCAGTCCCAGTGGCAACACAAGAGAGGCTGCCGCCACGAGACCCAGATTTCAGCGACAAATGCCCATCGTGACATGATGGCTGCACTTGAAGGCCAAACACGCTCGGATACTGGAAACCCAAGCAGGTGTCAAACAGGCCTGCATCGAGAGTGAATTGAGCTGGACCTCCAAGACACTGGTTCTCTGGGAAGGAGTTAAGATGCTCTTCTGAGCGTTCAGCTTGAGGCCAAGAGACTGAAGGTGGTGGAGAAGAATTTCCCTGTCACGAAACACCAGCTCCCTTGTTTGAGCCAATCGTCCACGGTAGTTAAGCACACGGATGCCCTGGAGCCTCAAAGGGGCCAGAAACACATCCATACACTTGGTGAACATCTTTGGAGCCAGAGACAGACAGAATGGCAGAACCCTATACTGGTATGCCTTTCCCCCAAAGGCCCACCTCTGTATACCAGAAAGCGCATGACGGTGGATATCACAGACTTGAAATCGGAGAGCATTTCAAAGGGGGACAAATATGTTTGAACGGTCGGTCCCTTGCTCCTGAAACATGGGAAGCTCTCCGTTTCCTAACCCGAAGATCAGGAACGGCTCAGCAAAGCTGAAGCAGAAGGTTGGTCCTACAGGGCTTGGAGGAAAGAAGAGGGTGGGACTTCCAGGATGGAGCAGACAAAGGCGAGAGGTGTGTGGCCAGTGTGTCCTCAATCGCTGGAATGCTAGCATAGCCCTGCTCCACAGAACCAACAAGACTGGTGAAGTCAGAGGCCGCTGCATTAGTGAGACGAGCAGAAAATGGCTGCTTCCAGGATCTTGAGATCTCATGATGAAGATCACTGAAAAATGTCAGCTTTCTCCGAACGAGATGTGAATTAGGGCTGCTCAGGAAATGCTTGTCAAGCTTATCAAAGCACATAATACAATTACTAAATCTTCTTAATTAAAATTAAAATGCATAATTAAAATATAAAAATTAACATATAATTCAAATTAATAAATTAATTAAAAGTATATAAATAATCAGATAACACTATTTTCAGCTTTTTAGTAAAAAAAATTGCTAAATGTTTTCTAAATAGTGTAATATAAAAATGTCCATGATTTTCTGAATTTACATTGAGTTTTAAAATGTCATATTTATGATTGATATTTATTCAGATCATCATGACTGTGGGAACACTGTAGTTATGCCAGTGATATAATTGATCACTATTTAATTTGTATGGATATAAAGCCACCAATGTCATTAAAATAACGATAACAAAAATAACTATAGTTTAGTATAGTTTTTTAGATCTGATTAGAGTGAACAGGATTTAATTATGTTGTGCGGAAAGCATTTTGGTCAACGCCAGTTGTTTTAAATGTGCTATAGAAATAAATCTTTACTGTATTGTATTTATCTTATATATAATAAAAAATACAATAATAATAATAAAATGGAATAAAATAATAAAAATAAAATACATTTTACATCATTCAGACAGTCTCTTCCTGTCTAAGTGGCATTTCCTGACTAAAATAAGCCACAAAGTGACCTTTATACTGCAAGAAAACAAGAAAAACTGTCGTACCCTCATTGCCGTTTAACTTGTTGAGAGTGACGGCGGTGGAGTCTCCATTGATGACATCCAAGAAGAAATCAGCAGGGTTGTTATGAGGTTCACAGGTGTATCCTGAGACACACACACACACACACATCAGTATCGGGATGTGAGGGTCAGTTCACGTGTGTGTGTGTGTGAGTGTGAGTGTGTGTGTGTGAGTGTGTGTGTGTGAGTGTGAGTGTGTATGAGTGTGTGAGTGTGAGTGTGTGAGTGTGTGTGAGTGTGAGTGTGTGTGTGAGTGTGTGAGTGTGGGTGTGTGTGTGTGTGTGTGTGTGAGTGTGTGTGTGAGTGTGTGTGTGTGTGTTTTCATACCGATCTGCATGAAGTAGTCCAGGGCATCCTGAGCCGGCCCGTGATACACCAGCCTTCCTCCCACCAGCAGCGTGAGGCTGTCGAACAGCCGGTAGATAGAGTACCGCGGCTGATGGATGGACAGGATGATGGTGCGACCGCTGTTCGCCATTCTGAACAAACCACAGGTTAAACACACGGGACAGTTAAAACACAGAACGGCACGGTGCTGTAGGTAAATCTCACAACAATTGCAGTCATATTTCATCGCACAAGAGCAAAATAATTATTAAATGTAATTTTATTTAATTTTAAAATCAAATTATTAATTTAGAAATAAAAAATGATATGGAGATATTAGTTATTATTAAATATGTAAAAAAAATATATATTTAAAAAAATTATAAATAATACATAAGAGATTTGGCCCATTGTGATATCTTCATTATTTAACAAAATTATACAAACACACACACATTACATTTTAATTATTAGCTATTATTAAATGTATAAATAAAATGCATATGAAATGTAAAAAACAAACAAACTGTATTTTAGGATTTGCCCCCGTACTTTTTTTCATTATTTAACAAAATAATATATTATAAGTAATATATTATTATATATTATGAAATATACTACAATATTATTAATAATACATATCCTAACATATATATTATATCATTAAATGTAAGTGAACAATTTAATTTAGAATATAATATAACTTAAGGCTGTGCATATTTGCATAATGTACAGTATATTTAACTGTTTTTAAATTATCGTAAGTTTACAATAAGACAGAATTGTCTTTATTGTGATATTCTCATTAAATCATTTAACTTTAAATCATTAACATTAACATTTAATTTAACATTAAATAATTTAACGTTGAATCAGCATAACCTAGATTGTAAAAACAAAAAAGTGTGAATAATTTACATAATATATATTAATAAAAAAAAATTACATATTCCTAAATATTCATATTTAACAACACACACATTATTTAGGGTTTTTAATTCTTATTAAATCTGATTAATATTTATTACTATACCAATATTCATTTTGCTAAATTGCAGTGAGTACAATCTGCCCATGTGAGACATCAATCTGTTCTTATTGGGTCTTATTGAAGATATTAGAACAGTAATAAGTATATGCAATAACCTAGTGCTTTCTAGCGGGATAGACTAAACTATTTTAAAACTATTACACACCTTTAAGTAGGGCTGGACGATAAAATTATAATTATCATGATCTAATTTTCCTCGATAAAACGATAATGTTTGATAAATGTTCAATATTACAAACACTGTGCGCAATGATACAGTCAGAACACTTTAAATCTACAAATCACCATAATTTACCATGAATTTACTGTAGTAA